GGGCCGCCCTTGGGGCAGCTCAGGCGGCGGGAGGGTTTTTCTCCTAAGGCGGGGAGAAAGACCTGCGCGCCGTCCCGCCAGTCCTGAAGCCCAGGGCTTCCGAGTCGCCTGGGTGTTCTGACGGCGGGTGTTTGTGTGGGTTTGAAACAACGTTTAACCTTGCCGAAGCGTGGATGATGTTTGTATTACTGTTTTTGGGACGGAGGCTGAAAGCCTGTACTTCTAAAAGTGGCAAGAGCATTGAGGCGAATTGTCAAATATAAAGCAACTGCAGACACCAAACTTTACTGGAGAGGAGGATTTACATTAATTATTCAAGCCATTCTTTCTCCCTTAAGGCTCTTGTCTAACCTGTTGGGTGATTATGGTCTGGTAAGCTCCTCCTTTCCTTGGAGTTATTACAGGGTTATTTTTAGTCAGAATTGGATTTAAAGGAACACCTTGCATCTATCGCTGTCTTTAATAATAAAGCGCATATCTGTGCGGCTGGAGATTAGATACTCCTCAAAAGGTACAGCCGCGTCTTTGCACGCTCAGCCATCAGGTGTACTTCTATCTTATGCAAATGACACAGAATTAAGTATTACAGAGTTGCTAAGGAAAGTTTGTATTTTTTTTATTCCCACTGGAACTTGCCTGAACAGTTAAATATTCTGAGGGCTGCAGGGTTTTTGCGGCATGTTTTGTCTCATGTTCAGGTGAGGTCTCTTGTGAAGGTGAATTACATATACTTCTGACTTGCCTTGGTTGTTGTCTCCTCTGCATCCTTTCAGCGTGAATTCCCCCTGCATTTTTCCAAAGAGCGCCAATTAATACACGATAACAGGTTAGATGACAGTTACTGAAGTACTTGTCAGACCGCTTCACCTGCAGGCTTTCTGCCTCTGCAAATACAGCAGGACATAATGTTTACTGGTTTCTGAGCCACCACGCTTGCAGCCCACCATCTTAAGTAAACAGATTTACTTCAATATACCAGTCTGTAACCTGCAAGCTGTTCCCCCTCCCCTTCAACTGTCTTTGTAAGAGTGGTGGGCACGCAAATGAGAATAGTAAAAACATCAGTTTTCCCGGTTTCAGCTAGTAAATGTGGATCAGTGTCCAAGTGGGAAAGCAGATCTTGGGGAGCTTGTGGTAGTCCTCACAGCCTGAAATCCTGAATTCGTCATGTACAGACAGCCCTCTGCCAGCCTGCAAACCATCCTAATATCACTGAATTTGCCGTTTTTTCCTTATGATTGGTGCTGTTTACATACCGTTCAGTTTCACTTTCACTAATATGCTACTGACTGGATGAAGTAGGTGTCAAAAAACCAACAAAAACATTTAAAGTATGACCAATCAAAAAAAACCCCAAGATGCTCCTCTTGTAGCAAGCGTTTCAACTTCTGACTGAGAATACTGAACTATGCTGTCATTGTCTGCAGCACGGATGCAGTACCCGCTTCCTCGGACTGTGTTGTATTTGAGGACTCTGTAGTGAATCGCTTTTTTTGTGTTTAACCAGGGCATCCGCAAGCAGGAGAGCATCATTAGCTGCCACCAGCTGCAACTTGCACTGTGGTATTTTAGGGCAGCCTAGGAGATGGGGAGAGATTTACTGCAGAGTGCTGCGCTACCATTGTTCAGCAGCTGAATCTTGAGTGCTTTGGCCATCTACGTATTACGTATGGATCAGACCTTAAAATAACTCCAGGAGCTATGGTAATGCCACCACCAATGAATCAAAACTCTGAGATCCACAGTGGACTCTCCTTCCAAAAACTACTGCCTAACGTTGAAATGTAGAATGCAACTTTACATCGCTGCTTTTACTTGAAGATGGAATATTGGAAGTGGCTGAATGATTTAAGAAAAGCATCCAAATCTGCTGATTTAACAGCAGAGACTGGAATCTACATCTCTCTAGTGCTTGTTTGGGGTTTTTTAAGAGCTGTAGGTGCATTTTCTGGGAAGGATGATGTAACAAGGAAAATGGGACATCACAGGGTGTAATGATTTTAAGTCTTCAACTGGCACATGGTCGGAGATTAATGTGAATATTTAATGATTCGATAGACAGTACAGAAGAGTCTCTACATTATTACTGATACAACGTTCTGTCGGTGTTGTGTTACCGAAGAATTATTGCACCAAAATCTGAGTTGGTTGGTAGCCTTTCATCTGCTTACTGAAATGGATTCCTTGAGTGTTATCAAGTGGCTGTCATTCTTAGTGTAACTTCTGTCAATCCCAACACTGCAACAGATTTTTCTGCTTATGAAGATATAAACCACATAAAATAAGAGCTCAAGTTGAGGGAAAAGCAACTGAAATAGGTATAATCTTCCCTTAACCGTAGAGCGGGGTTGAGAAGACCTCAACTTAGCAAAGACCTTGTATAAATCTGTTCTTCAAAAGTCTGTTCTTCTAGCAATATAAAGTAAATTGCATACTAAAGGACTTAAATCTCTTCAAGCAACCAAAATCAAGTGCTCTGGGATGAAACCCACCAGAAATATTTAAAGTAGAGAGAGGGCTAGCATGACGGAGCTGCAAGGATGTGTTATGTTCGCTTGTTTGTATCGGTTAGGTAGATTTACATTAAAGTGAAGATAGAAACTTCTCAGTGCTCAGTGTTCAAGACGGATTTCAATGGCTATTACAAAATGATTCCCTGTTGAAATTCTCTCGCTGCAGCAGAAGAGCAAGTTCAGGGTGTGTCTGCAATGTATGGTTCTGATTTCGGTGGTGAATGAATTATTGCTCAGTTTCATGTGTTGCAACCTTCAGCTTGCAGAAAGAGCATTTCAGTTGAGAAGTCTGTCTGCTTAGCAAAGAAAGTTTTCTTGGTTTGTGAGTGAGTGCAGGGGCATTAAATAGGGTTTGATGGGACTCAGTGGTGCCAAGATAATAAGGCTTCAGTGCCTTTTTATTTTAAATATGGTTTTCAACCATAACGGGACGGTTGTATGTCAGTTGATACACGGCTTGCTTGTACATAAGGACAAACCACAACTTACAGAGCTGTCGATGTTCTGTAAGGATGCAAGCTTCTGTGTGTCAGCACTACTTCTACATAATGAAAATCTTAAAACGGAAAAGTTTCCCTTCTTTTTTCTGAGGGAAGTATGGCAGAGAGGGTAAAGGTTACATAGGGTTGTAAAGAGGTTTCCTGAAAACTTGATGCCTTCCAGTTACCAATCCCACCCTTCTGCTCATCTCTCCATTCCACCTGTGAAGAAGAGAAAGGGCTGAGGGAGAGGTAAGCCATAACTTACGTGATGTGAGCGATACCCTGCCTGTTTGAGGCCACTGGCATGAATATGTAAAAGCCTGCAGATTTTGTAAGCTACTTCCATTACTTACATTTAGACTCAAAGGGACTATACAATGCTACAGCTGAAGCAGGCTACAGAGACAAATTAGAGCGTATTTATCTCGATTCACTGTTACCAGATGAATCAAAGTGTAGTTTCCACAGGATATGGGTACTGTAGACCCCAGTGTTCCAGATGTGTCGTGGTTTAACCTTGGCTGGCAACTAAGCACCACAGCTGCTCACTCACTCCCCACCCTGCCCCAGTGAGATGGGGGAGAGAAACAGAAGGGTAAAAGTGAGAAAACTCATGGGTTGAGATAAAAACAGTTTAATAATTAAGAAAAGAAATAATAATAATAAATTGTAAAGGGGAGGGGGGGAATAACAGAGACAAATAAAATCCAAGAAAGACAAGTGACACAAATGAAAACATTGCTCACCACCAACTGACTGATGCCCAGCCAGTCCCCAAGCAGTGGCCCTCCTGCCAACCTCCCCCCTGGTTTTATCGCTGAGCGTGACATCATACGGGGTGGGATACCCCTGTGGTCAGCTGGGGTCAGCTGTCCCGGGTGTGCCCCCTCCCAGCTTCTTGTGCCCCTGCAGCCTTCTCGCTGGTGGGGTGAGGTGAGGAGCAGAAAAGGCCTTGGCTCTGTGTAAGCGCTGCTCAGCAGTAACAGAAACATCCCTGGGTTATCAGCCCTGTTTCCAGCACAAATCCAAAACATAGCCCCATACTGGCTACGATGAATAAAATTAACTCTGTCCCAGCCAAAACTGGCACAGCCAGCTAATACAAATGTAAATACATTTCACTTTGTAGGTCAGTTTTAAAGTAGTATGAACTGTAGTTTGAGATCCTTACTGAGGTTTCTATACCTGAAGGTTCTGGCATCAGGTGATGTAATTGTATTTTGGACCACTCATCTGCTTCTGAACCCACTGTGAATCAGAAGTGTTGGGACTATAGTTGTTTGCATAGTTCACAATTTAATAAAGGTAGGAAAAGGCTTACATAGAAATTATCTTTTGGGCAGTCTCATTATTGCTGAATTTTCTTAATTCTGGTTTTGGATGGAACATATGGGAAAGATTCAGTATGAAGTTCCACCTATACAACAGTTCAGATAATTAGACACGAGTAAAACGTTGCTGCTGTCACTTTTTACAGACCTCCTATCCCATACTGAGAGGTAAAATTGAGTTGTGTTAGCTATTGTAAAAAGTTGGTGTCCACTTTGCTTGTTTATAACAACGACTTTCAAAATGTCAGTTTAGTTTCTTACAGTTATGTTAGCTAGCTTGATGTTATGGCAGTTCTTGGGATGTGGCTTTCTCTGGTCCTGCTTCCAACTCCAAGTGATGAAGTTTTCATGTGATGCATCCAGCCCGGACTTTTTAGAAGTCTGTGTTATTTTCAAGTCTTCTGAATTAATGCTATCTGTATCAATATAGATACACACATTGGTTTTAAAGTAAAACGTGAACACACGTGCAGACCGACTCCCAGGCTGGCAGCTCCTCGAAATGTCCCATAAGCCAGAGACTTGCAGAGGCTGTGATGTTGAGGCACGAGTGACTGGTGGGCAGAGGTTCATTGTCATGAACGAGAATCGAATTTCCCAAGTGTCCGCTGTGTCCCACAGAGCAGTGCTCTGTCCTCCCAGCATCTTAGAGGCACTTGCAAGCCACGCGTTTAGTAACAGTGACAGTCTGCTGCTGACATCCAGACTTTTTTGTTGTTCATTGGTTTTGCTTAAGCTGTGGGGATGGCATAACTTTTACTTCGGTGAACTTCTAATGCCCTGCATTCCTCAAGATGAAGATGGTATTGGAGTAAACAACATTTGTTAGTGATGGGCTTAGTTCAGGGGAGGAGGGGGAGAAACAGGACTACTGGTAGCTGGTGTTGCACCATTTTGGACAAGCATTTTCTGTGGAAACTCCTTGTTAAACCTGGATGACTGCTAATGCAACTTTGGACCCTCATGAGGCACAGCAGTTCTTAGGGAGTAATCACACAGCTTCAACAATCGAGCATTAAGCAATTAGGTGTCTCAATCTTAATTATAAAGGTGTTGCTCCAGGCAAATCACTTGAGGGCGTGCACATCTGCCTGTGTCCATGCAGGAAGAGTCCTTTTTTTTATACTTACGAGACCTTTCTGCCATGAAACCTGGAGTTAAAGGATTTATTTTGGAGGAGAAAAATAAACAAAAGTAGTCATTTGGACAAATGACTGTGTCTGAATTTAATGTGAAAAATACGGTGTGATAAAAAGATTGGAAAAATCTTGTGTTCAAAACTTATTTGCTAATACTAAAAAAATTGTTGCTGTTTCAGTGTGTTAGCTGCAGGAAAAAAAAAAAAAGGTCAGTACCCTGTCAGTTATGTTCTAAATACATATTCTTGGCAGGAATTTATAATTTCTTAGAGAAAAAGAATTGTTATTTATGGAGTCTCATTTTGGTTAGCAATTTACAGCGGTAAAATTGCATTTTACGTATATGGAACCATAATATTGAAGTCTGCATCTAATGGGGTGACTTTTCCACATGGCAAATGCTCAGTCTGCCTAAAGGTTGAAGCAAGAGAGAGTGACTTCCCCATTTTTGTTTTATGAGGCTTTTGGGAAATAAATGGAAGTGACTGTGGTTGTTCCAAACTGCTCTGGCTTGTAGTTGCCTATTAGGAAACATAATGCTGGTATGAATAGCCGAAATTTTTTGCAACCATGAATATTGGGGCACAAAGCTGACAAGCCTTTTGAAATACTGGTGGTAGTTTTGGAGGATGTATTGAAAGGTTTGAACGATCTAAAAAATGTAGCTGAATTCAAAATATCAGAGAGTTTGGGGTTTTATTAGTTTTTGTGGATCATGCTTATAAAAAGCGTTTTAAAACTTTCAGCATTCAGCAACTGTTAAATGCCTCATTCATTCAGACACTAACTTTGAAATGTGAAAATTGAATTTTGAAGAAAACTTTGTAGCTCTGTGTTTACAACTTTTGGAAGTGCTTGGTGGAAAAAAATAAAGACTTGATTTGATAGTCAGGTTCCTTCTGTGTGCCATTATCGACTTGCCAGAGTTGGAGCCTGCACTCTGTAGAGGAGTTTCAGTACTTAGGGAATCGCTCCCCAGTGGGCAGAAGATGATCAACTTACACAATAGTCCTTTTTGTTTGGGTTTGTTCCTCCCTTATCTCTCCCTTTCTCCCCCCAATTCCTTCATGAGAGAACATGGGAAGAGCTTGTTATGCACCTAAATAGCTAACTGCTGCTACCAGGGCATACGGGAGGCAGCAAATGAACTTGATACACAGGAGGTGTTGTGAGAAGCCCTGGGTGGAGGGGGAGAAATTCAGGCAAAGCAGCTTGCAGTGGGCAAAGGTGCTGAGAATAAGAATAGAAGACACAGCGGTATCTTGAGGAATGGCTTAGAAAGGGGGACTGAGATGAAGCAAGAAGAGAAAGAGGGCTGTGGGCAGCCTGGAGGGGTCTCTCAACCCCTTCTGGTGTGGGATGAGCAGTTGGGGGCAACTTCAAAGGGATGTGTGTCGGGAGAGGAGGAAATGTAGAGCAAAAATTTTTGGTGGGTCTTTGTGGAAATGAAGATTCATAGTGAGCGTGATGAGGGATGATCAGATCCTCGAGGGTAGGAGAAGAGCGGGGCTGGAGAGTGGGAACCAGGCATGGTAAGAAGTAAGAGCGCCGCAGTCAGGCCCCACTGAAGCTTCTTCCTGCAGATGAGTTTCGGGACCAAATGAAGGAGGTGTTGGTATGTCCCTTATGTGATTTTTAAGACTTGAGTTTTATCTTTAACTTCTGCTAATTTTAGGAAGATACCTTTTTTTAAAAATTTAAATTTTCATCCATCTTGAGACCTGTGTGTTTCAGTTTTGTTTCTCTATTCTTTGTTTTTGTTACCCTACGTTTTTTCTCTTCCCAATATTTGCTTCGGTCTCTTCAGTACTAGTTGTTCACGTTGCAGTAGTACCAAAACCACCTTCTTTGAAAGGCAGGATCTCTCTTCTCAGGAAAGTTTCTTAAACTGATGCAAGTCATTACCCTTGGCATTTTAATTAGTTTTGAAAACATTATTTCTGAGTATTTCTTTGTCAATCAGTATTAAAATACTGAAGACCCACATGTCCCAAAAAACCCACTACGCACCCTTGTGGTTTAAAATCAAAGAAAGGGGCCTGCCTCACATTTTTAAAGCAGCTCGTAATATGAAAATCTCTCTGTAGGAGTCTACTTACTGGGAAAATATGGGCAGAAGAAAATCAGAGAAATCCAAGAACGAGAGGCAGCTGAATACATCGCCCAAGCCCGAAGGCAGTATCATTTTGAAAGTAATCAGAGGACGTGCAATATGACAGGTAAGATAAGGAAATAGCTATTGTTCTTGATAGGTAGAATTATTTGGGGATTTATACTACATATTGACAGGATGGAAAAAGAATAAGAAATGTAGGTGAATTCAAAATCTTAATTAAACACTAATGCATAAATAGAGTAATTTGGCATAATAAAAACAACCTGAAGAACAGAGGATTGAAGGGATTTCTAGGGGTCATCTTAACCCTTGGTTTGAATATATCCATCTATAATGCATACAAGTATACATGCAGGTTACAATTTTTTGTCACTTCAAGACCCTTTGTATATTGCCCTAAACTGCATGTGGTATTGAGGTGTGAAACAGCACCCAGATTCAAACAATACTGAATTTACAGAATGTTTACTTTATTCATTATAGCACGATGTTAGTAAGCTACACAGAGAGCTTGGTGGGTAATTTTTATTTTTTATTTTATTATATAAAAGAAGCACGTCAGTCTATTAGTTCCCTATATTTTAACAGTTAAAAGGTACCTGACTAACTGGGGAGTAAAAAGTGAAAGTATTGATATTACAGCACTGGTCTCTGGGTTTTTGGAGAGGAGATGGTAGGGTAGAGTTTAACAAAATCCTTGTCATTCTTGCAAATACAGGCCATTCAAAACTATTTCTATAAAACAAATTGGGCAGCTTTTTTGTCTCCTGTTGAAATTTGTAATGGCTTCTTGGGTGGCTGCAAATGCTTTCTGGGCACTGTGTTTACCCTGACATGAAATACCCTGGTATTTAATTTTCATTTTTTTCCATTTTGTGGTGCTGGGATTGATTTTACTGGAAGGATTACATTTTTCTTTGCCCTTTGTTGTACAAAGTACTTTCTGTCTGGCAGCATGCATTCTTGTGAAGATTTTTCATATTTTGTTCAAAGTATTTATTATGTTCTGTGCATGCTTGTTTTCCATTTCCTGTTTCCATCATGTAACACCAGATTGGACACTGAATATTCTGAACGTAAAGGAAATTTCCCCACCAGCTTTCTTTTGTTTAAAACTTACCTTTCTCTGGTTCTCTCATTGGGGAAAAAACCAAACCTCAGATATTTTTCTTCTCATTTGGAGAAATGCAACAGTGTAGATTTTCACCAGATTTTCTTCTGAGGAGTTGAAGGTGGAGATATGCAGGATGTGAGTACACATCTGCAGCTAGAGCCAGCAAAGACGTGTAGCCACGTAAGGGCAGCATTGTGCCCAAGCTTGGAAGAGGCATGCGGGTAATGGCACTTCCGAGTACTCCCAGGGTTTCCTATTTTGTTTGTCTTCCCAGCTTTGCCTGTTGAGCAATGGGATTTACATTGTATAGCAGCTATTGAGTGAGAGCTGGGGATAGGCTTGTGATGACTTTTTTTATGTTGACAGATTTTTTTTTTTCTTTTTGCTTTTAAAAACAGTGCTGTCAATGCTTCCAACATTGAGGGATGCCTTAATGCATCAATTAAATTCTGAAAGTCTCACGTCTCTTCTTAAAAATAGGTAAGACTCTTTTGTTGATTGTGTTAAAGATCACTTGTTTTGATCACAAGATAAGGGTTTTTTTTCAAATTATATATTTATAACTTAGAAAGCATGCAGAATTTTGGTTCTGTGTCCCGTTGAATCACTAGTCTTAAAGTATTTTGAAATAGCTATGTAAATATTTTGTGTCATGTTAGATGTATTTTGATAGGTATGACTGGCATTTTCCAAACATTACAGGAAACAACAGTTCCTTCAAGATGCTGCGATGAGAGCCATGTTTTTTGTTGAAGTGTTTAAGATAAAGTACCTGCAGGATCTAGTCCTCTCTTAAACAGGACAGAGTATCTCGACTGAGTTGTTGATGTTGTGTTTGTAAAAATGTTTATGTAATCTTATCAAGGTCAGACATGAATAGTAGTGGAAAGTATCGAAGATGAGATTGCAAATGGATGTAAGCTATGGAAAGTGGTTTTTTTCTTTCTTTTTGAAGTAGAACAACTAGGGGCATGTCATACATTAAAAGGAATGCTTTTGGTTTCCTTATAACTGCAGTAACAAATAGTATCTTTTTAAATACATAAAGTGCATAATAGCATGCCTTAAAAGTAGAGTAAGCTGCTTGGCATTTGGCACAGAGTAAGTGTTATGTAGGCAGTTAACACAGGGTTTCTGACTCACTCCAGACTGCCTTTCTAGTTTACCTCCCACTAGCTTGTTCAGCTATAGCTTCAGCTGACCAGCATTTAATAGATTACCTATCCAGTCACTGTCTTTTTTTCAGTCAAAAAACTCCCACAACAAGGCAACAGAATGTGATATTTAAAGTGGGAATCACAGCCTGAACTATGTTTTTATAACAGGTTATTTCAGAATTTGCAACTGTAATTGAACATTATTTACCCCAAACAACAAGAAATTAGGAAAAGTTAATTTTAATGGAATATTTAATCTATTTGTCATAATAAGAGTTTTACTCAATGAAAATTTAACCTCAATTAACAAGAGATCTTGTGGATCTCCAGATTTGTCTTCTGGATGGTGCAGCAAAATAGTCTACAAAGGCCTGTCATCCTTTGTTCTGTGGTGGAGACATATAATGCCTTAGTTTGTTCTCTGTAGCATGCATTCTTATCAAAATATATCTGGTGTCCCTAACTTGTCTGACTAGTTGAAACAGTTCACAGGTGTGCTGATGCACTTCTAAATTCCAATAATCCCAGTGAAAATAGAGATGAGACTTCCTGATGTTATTGTTATGTGTATCTGAAAACAGGTATTTTCTTAAAATGCTGTTTACATGGAACATCCTGTAAGCATGGATGTCCATTTAGAGTGTATCTTACAGTGGAGTTTGTGTCTTAATGCTTCCTTTTCTGACTTATGCTGAGGAAGTTTTAACTAGATGCTTGAACTTTTTGAACTGAAAAGGTAGAGAAGGGATCGGGAAGTCACAGATCATGGAATGAGCCATCAGGACTTGTTCCACTTTGATGTGAGTCCTTGAAGAAGCTCTACATTCTTGTGCTACACATGGAGGTGTAGATTTGTTTTCTTTCTGCTTCGATGGAATGAGCCATCAGGACTTGTTCCACTTTGACATGAGTCTTTGAAGAAGCTCTACATTCTTGTGCTTTGTTTTCTTTCTGCTTCCCTTTGAGAAGGAGAATCAAACTCCTCCAGTCCTTTGAGTGCCGTTGTTGTTGAATTTACAAAAGAGTAGATGTGGAGATTTACCTTTCTTAATGTCCCTGAAGGATGTATTCTTTTTCTGACATCATCTATGTTATGGCTTAACATGCATCTGTGTTATCGTATGTTATAGACCATGTTATAGCTTAGGTAAAGTCCTTTAACTTAAAATCTGTTCAATTCCTTAAATTTAAAACCTTTTTACATTATTTTAGTGATTTGGGGCAGCCAGTGGTAGGTTGAGGGTGTAAGCAAGCTGATATCTTCAGTCTTCCAGAGAAATTTTTAGGGAGGGAGCAGCACACAAGACCACAGATATTCTTGCTGTCTGTTGTCCTTTTTTTCAAATCAATGTGATTGAATGAGATGAGGTGAAGTACCTGCTGCTGTAGCCTTGCAGGTGTTGCGTATCTTGCATTTGTTCAGCACTTTGCTTTATTCCAAACCTGTATTTTCTTTGCTGCTTTTTGCTTCCGTAGCAGATAGTGGTTTTCCAAATAAATAAATGTGAAATAAAAGTTGATTTTTCAGTAGCAGCTGAGTCTTAGTAAATTGCAGCAGATGAAGACTGAAAAAAACCCATTTCCACTGTTAGGATGAACACTTGCAGACTTAAAACTGTTACCTGGCTGTTGCCTTATGTTGTGAGGAGAAACTTTGTAAGCGTGAGCTCTAGAAAATGTTTTGACATTATAGGTCCAAATGTAGTTGGCTGACGTTGATGTATTGGCTTCTCTTTCTCTCTTCAGTTGGCATGGAAAACTTATCACTCATAAGTAACAAATGTGGTTTTGAGTCCTGTTACATGTTTTATCTCTAGAAATATTACTGTATTTTTTAACAGTCTGTCCTTTGTTTTGCTTTAGAATAGCTTTTAAAACTGTTGATTTAGCTTGCAAAAAGAGAAGCATGTAAACTGTTTTTCTATGTGTCATGAATCCTTGTATCTCTTCCAGCTATCCTTTCTTTAACCTGTCTCTCTACTTTTCGGACTTGTAGACTTAATAGTTCATTTGCATTATTTGATAGCGGTGAGCTTAAAAATTCATTGTTTATGAAGTGATATAATGGTCAAACTAATGCCAAAGTGCATGTGTTTGTTCCAGACAGATGAAAACATTCCTCAGTAGTTAATTGTGCCTGTGAAGAGAAATGATTTCTGGTGAAAAGTTTGTAAAAAAAAAAAAAAAAACCAACACACTAGGTTACTATAAAGTCTAAGCATAGGTTAATCTGAACTATCTGCCCTAAACATTTAAGTGCTAATTCTGATCCTAAGAAATTGCCAAATGTTTCTCTAAGTGACTTTCACAAATTATTTCTTCCACAATAGAGGTACAGTAGCCATTCTTTATGACAGTGGCAAGAATGGCTGATGAAACTTCTTGGCTGGTTAGCTTGCTTTTAGCTATCCTGCTGCAATGTTGCAAACGTTACCTCTGGATAGTAGTTATAAATATGCAAAGTACCTCAGGCAGTTCAGGTGTATCTATGCAGTCTACAGCATTGCTCCTTTAACTGCAGAATATATAAAATTTGGGGATTTGGTCAGGTCAAAAGAGTAAATGCACCTCAACAAAAGAAAAAAGATCAACTTGCATTTGTGTGGATGGTGCAAGACTTCTTTTCTGCAGATGGTCATGATCTCTTTGGTTTTTGGTGGTCAAATCTGAACTTCAAAACCGAGTCAGGCAATGGTAACTCTTCCAAGAACGTAGGATATAGAAATTCTGATCCTGCACTTATTATGCACAGGTAGAGGTCTACATTAAGTATATCCAGGATCAAGGCCCCAGAAAAGACCACTTTGTACTATCAGTGGGCTTTTCCTGACTGCTTAGCACAGTAACTCAAAATTGGTAATGTAAGTATATAACTGACATCACTAAGTACTACATTAAAGTTTGAATATCTTTTCTGTGGCTTCATAGTGTATTGTTTATATACTGCTTCCTTGAATAAGGCAAATCAATGTAGACATAATTCTGATCTGAATAATTACAGTAGCTAAATGAGCTCGCCTTAGAGCACTGCTATTTCATTTTAACATATTTATTAATTTCTGAAGAAAGTATACTTTTTAATATTTAACATTTCCATTTATTTTTCCCACAGGCCAGCAAACAAGTTAGAAATATGGGAAGATTTAAAGATAATAAGTAAGTGGAAATGATTCCATCTGCATAATATTTAGCATAAATTTAAAATGTCTTTCACATCCTTTAAAATGCACACTTTACACTGGGTTGTTGTTTCAATAGATATGAAGATAGTGTAGCACACTATGTGGCAAACCTCCTCCCTGCCCACCCTCCCAAAAGCTCCTCATGATGGAATTTTTCATAGCCCCGAGGGAGTTAGAGAAGCTCAGAGATGAAGGTGAAGAATGTTACTGGTCTTCGTGTTACCCTGCCCAAGGAAACTTTGTGAGAGCTTTCTGTGCCACCACAGAAAAATCAGACTAGTTTTTCAGAAAGTTCTATGCTGAACGTAGCAGAAAGCGCCAATCAGAAATGTAGGCCAGCCCTTACATGGCCAGCACTTTCCTCTTTTCAAGCCATTGGAGATAACCACCGTAACAGTGGTTATGAAGCCATCTTATTTATTGGCTGATGGAAGCAGGGGAAGGGAAAGGAGAATAGTGAGGTCTGATAATTATGTAGTGAGTGCTACTGAGCTTTTCTTACAACTTTCGATGCCTTGGTACCATTTGTTACCCCTACCACTTTCCTGGTTTTGTCTTTCCTTCCTTTTGGTTTTGTTTCTCCTTTTCACACCACCTATGCAGCTCCTACTTTTGATCCCGCCCCTTTCTTCCTGTGTCCTTGCTGCTCAGCATTCATCCATATTTATCCATGTCACTTCCTTGTGTCCCTTCTTCCACACATCCTATGTTGCCCAGTGGCTGGTAGCTGGTGCTCATTTTCATTTTCTTTCTTTAGATATTAGCTTCTCCTGCCTTCAGTAGCTTTTTTTCTTTTTCCCCCAAGCTGCTGCTATGCCTTCTGTGTCTAAATTGCATGATGAGGGCTAACACAGTGTGTGTATTTCCTGGCCTAATGAAGAAAGATGATTTGACAGTACATCCATTTTCCTTCTGGAGCTACTTGTGTGTGTATATATATATATATATATATATATTTATTTTTTTTTCCCCAAAATAACTTGTGTAGCATGCAAAATGATATTAATATAGGACTTTAAATGGGACACTTCAGATGTAGGTCCAGCACATATTAAACACATGACCATCTTGGGTATGTGTTGCAAAAATGTGTGTTATGACAACCAGTGAGAGAAATGTGACAGTGTATCGGTGCTTCTTGAGTTTTGGAAAGCACTCTCCCTCCTTGACTCACCCTTATTTCTTTGACTTTGAAGTTATTTTGTTGTCTCTTTTCAAGGTTTCACAAGAAGCATCGTAGCTGTATATAGTACCTGTATGCTAGTAGTTCTTTTGCGAGTCCAGTTAAATATTATTGGCGGTTACATCTACCTGGATAATGCTGCACTCTGCAAAAACGGCACAGTAAGTTTCTTCGTTTGTTTCAAAGGTAGAACTTCCACTTTCTTGGAAGTGAAATGATTATTGAGTGAGAGAGAAAAGGGGCATAGTTGAGGAGTAGTAGAATGAAACCAAGAGGTTTTGTAAGAGTGAGAGATGTGGAAGCATTACTGGAAGTAACATATATTGATGTGTTTTAATAGCCTCTGAATTTGGATGACTTGATGATACTGTTGCTGAACGAAATACTAGCGCTATTGAAGAATGCCATTTGTCTGCATTTGGGTTGCTTAAAGAAGGTTACTTTGTATCTAAACACCAACATAAAACCATTTCTTTGCTTCCATTAATTTTTTTTGTGGAACTGCGTGGATGATCCAAGATATGCATGCAAATGTATATAAAATGCTTAGGTCTTACTAGCACATATGTCAATTCCCCCAGTTAAATTTTCCTAGGAAGAAAAATAGAGTCTTTGAAACTTCTGACTATTTTGTTTAACTCCAAAAGGCCAACTACCTAAATGTCTGTTGGTGGGGCCAAGCAAGGTAGAAGACTTGGGGCTTGTTTGTATAGTATATCTATCACTGCTCAATAAAAATAGATCAATCCCACAGTAAGCAAGTACCCATTGTACAGAGTAAGATCTGCAAACTGTTGGACGGCTCGTCTAAAAATAGTGGATACAAACTTGGATTGGTTGTCGTGTGCCCCTCTGTGATGACTCCTGCTGAGAGTCAAGGAACAGCCTGTCAAGGCAGGTCCGAGAAAAGCTTTCATTAGGGAGCCAGGGTTGATGGAGGTTGTGCTTGAAAAAAGCCTGAAAAAGCTTTTTTTTTTTAAAAGGGCAAGATGAGTTTGGACTAGAAACGTGTTTCCTTTCTGTTATTTTTCCTATAGAGAATTAGGTTGCGGGGCCAACTCTGAGGCACTCTGCTGGAGCAAATTCGGATCCTGTCTCTGTTCCCGAAAGCTTCTTTTCTATCAGATAGGCTTTTGTTAGGGTTGAGCATAAATATCCTATTCCCCTAGGTTTACTTTTTGGGATGGTGGAGAGTCTAGTTTCACCTGCAATGCAGTTTTTTAAGATACTTTCCTTTATATGAATGAAAAGTGAAAGATTTTTCTGTACCACTGAAGATGGGAGAGAGATCTGTACAGTATTGAAGAGAAGAATGCCAGAGGACTTATGAAAGATCCCTGGGGTTGATGGCAGGAAGAGTCAGATCGTGTGAGAATGGGGGGATCCATCTGCTGCAGGGTAGTATAAAGATAAAGGAAATCGGTCACAACCTGTTTGAAATGCTTTTTGTATTGTTCTCTACTGTTGACATGTCACAGAACTGTTGTGGTTTTTTTTTCCCCTCCGTAGACACCACTAGCTCCCCCTGAAGTTCAGCAGCAATATTTATCAAGCATTCAGCACCTTCTAGGAGACGGTATGGTCCTTATTATGAGCTAACTACATTTACAGAATTCTACTTTTTTCTGGACTTGAACAGATCATTAGAATAATTTTGACGCTTTCTTCCTCCTAGGACTGACTGAGTTGATAACTATTGTTAAACAAGCTGTGCATAAAGTGTTTGGAAGGTAAGACTCTATGTTCTCTCTGGTTAGCTTTTAAGTTCTATTGTGACAACTGTTCCCAAAACAATGAGTTTTATTAGAATGAAAAAAATAAAAAAGCAAGGCGTACTGACTCTTTCCAAAAGAACTTTTTTATTATAGCAGGCAATGTCTGCCAGTGCAAACCAATATAGCAGATTGGGATCCTGTTACTTGCGAACATGTCATCGGTAGGAGAACAAAGGATCATTATTCATTTTGCAATCAACACTGCAGTCTTTTTCCTTTCCAGTATTTCCCTTAAGCACACCCTGTCTCTTCTGGAGCTGGAACAGAAACTTAAAGATATCAGGAAAGTAGTGGAACATAAAGATTCAGATCAGATTGCACCCTACTCTCCCTTATGTCACTACCTGATGCCAGATGAAGAAAACCCCTTGGCTACCCAGGTACTTGTTTCAGTTTCTTTCCTGCATTTGTTTGGTTTGGGGAGGGAAGGGTCTTAACAGTCCTCTAGCTGTACCATGGTATCTCTATCTTTAATAAATGGTGATGCCTCTTCATTCGTAAGTCATGTCCTTGTCTCTTTAATCTAGGCAAAGTAAAGTTGTGCTTTCTTCAGATTTGTTTCAAAGCAGGCATCATCCTCAGAATGTCAGCTTTGAGCTCAGAAACACAGCCCAGTTACTGCTTTTAGCCTGTGACGTATGCTGTAACATGGTGCAGCTTAACTCAGCCCTAAGCTAAATTGTATTACCTTGCACTTCGTACCAGCAAAGGTCACGGACAACTGTAGCATCTTGGCTGATGCCCGGGAAGGCGATGGGGTGCTGGAGTCCTTTGGTGCTCTGGGCTGGAGTCAGTCAATGAACAGGAGTCAAGAGGAAGCTCCGTCTAAGCTCAGTTGTAACATTAAAGTCATTTCCTAAATTTTCTAAAGCCGTTTGTCTCCATCCACACCGCAGGCTGGAGAAAACTCGTTCTTAACTTGATATGATACTAGTATAAAGGGGAAACTTAGGCTAAAGTGTGTGACTACATGCACTTATCCCTTTGACTTAAGCTGATACGCAGGGTTTACTTCCATTTTGGAGGTCAGAAGTGGAAAAAATACTTGGCTAATTAGTCTGGTATTTCCTGCTAATACTGTTTTTAGTTAAAAAAAAAATCCCACAGTGACCATTTAAAGGGAAAACTAGAACACAAATTATGAAGAATCTGATTTACAACAATAAATCTTTTTTTTAATAGATTTGACTTGTACATCTTCATTTAATTCCATGGTACAAAAATTTCTATTTCTACTCTTACGGTCAGCAATGGATTTCTTACTAAATAGTGTCTGTCTTTGCTTTTTCTAGGCCTGTGGACTCACAGAAAGAGACATTGCTACAATTAAATTACTTAATGAAACTAGAGATATGCTAGAAAGGTATAGAGAAATACCCTGTGTTCATACTAAACTCCTCCTCACAACTATTGTTTATGTAAGACAATTACTTCCATATAAAAAACCTGTCAACTTTCATTTACGAAATGCGACCACTCCGCTGCATTAAACTTTTGTATTTGCTAATTGTAGGCTGGGATTTTCAAAATTTGAGAGCTCTGAAACTCATTTGTAAGAAATAATCCTGCCTTAACAAGGTGACCAGGATGTGCTTCCCAGTCAGACCCCCTTACCTCTTCCTCACCTTTTCTGTAGTTATGCAGGAACAGAGGAGCACTTCTCTTCTGCTAAAGCAGGGTAAATTGAGTGGAATTTTATTGCATTTACTTGCTTTGATAAAATGAACACCCGTTTTGGCTTATCAGAACTTATTTTTAATGCATGGTTGTGGGAGCGGTTGCACGCGTCCTTTTACCAGAGAGCCACTGAAGTGGGGCTTCTGTAAGAAACACGGAGTAAGAGTGAGTTGAGCCAAATGCCAAACTGTCCTTGTCATCTAGCTGCTAGAGATCTGGGGCGTTTTCAAGGGTAAGTCCCTTCTACGCTCTTACTTTGTAAGAAACAGAGAAGCGAGGGATGCTTTGGATTTATATGTTTTTGGTAACCTTAGGGTAGAGCGTAGGTGGTTGACTGGTTTGTTGCGAAGCTTTCAGGGAGCTGGTCTTTCCGGAGGTGGCTATACTGATGGCCTTTTGTCTGGGTCGCACACTTTCCTGTACGGGAGGGAGATCTGTAGCACTGAGTACTTGCAACGTTTTTTAGTTTTTTTAAAAAATAAATCCCAGGAATCAAACCTTTCTTTTTTTTTTCTTTTTTTTCTTTTTTTTTTTTTTCCTCCAGTCCAGACTTCAGTACAGTTTTGAGCACATGTTTAAATAGAGGATTCAGTCGACTGCTGGACAATATGGCAGAGTTTTTTAGACCTACTGAACAGGACCTCTCTCAGAATGGTTCCGTAAATAGGTAAATGGTTTCTCTTGTTGCGGTTCTCATGTGGATAACGCTTTGGGTTCACAGTGCATTCCAAAAAAGGCGACTGATTTTCCTGCCTACTTGAAGTTCTCATGCTGGAAAGGGTTCTGTTTCTTGCTTTTCAAGAATAAATGCACCCTCCTTGCTCCGCCCATGACGTTGCTGGAATCCACATGAGGTATCCTTCCCACTGTTACTTGCAGATCTAAGAGCAGAAAGCAGAAGACCTGTACTTCCCGCTTTTTGCCAAGGCTGTACAAGCAGACTGCCTTCCTGGGTGAGGAGGATTTACCCCCCTGGTGGTGACCGCTGAAAGGTGTACTGCAGTACCTGCCCCGTGGGGCCGTGAGAAAGATGGCCTTCCCCCACCCCTCCCCAAGGGGCCAGAGGAGCTCTGTGTGCCCCAGGCGCTGACCGCCAGCCGCTGTGGTTCTTGGGGCAGGCGGGCGCTGCCATGACTCTCCAAATGCCTGTAGCCACAGCACCTGCGGAGCTTTGGGTTCTTTGCTGGTGTGCTGAAAAAAAAGATACTAACGTTCAGAATCTTCTGCCTCTTCCTAGAAGGCTGTTTAAAAATAGCTTTTATTCCGAAGTTAACTCCGGGTCCAAACAGTGCAGTGAGAGTGTTACAAATCCAAAAGCTGGGTTCAAATCCTTGAAATATGATTTCTAAAATATTAAAACCTGGAATAATAACTGGGTTTACGTATATTTATTTTAATAACTGATGGCTCTCAAAGAGTGGAGTTTTTATTTAAATACGTACTCTTTATATCACTTAAAGTATCCCAAAGGCTATAGTTTGGCTCTGTCTGTTCTAAGCCTGGTTTGGAGTTTGAAATAGCGTGAGATTGTGGACTGGCACTTCTGACATCAGTTTACATGCACACACACGAAAGACTCTGGCTAAACCGTATTTCTCTTGCATGAGAAGGAAGCGTGAAGCTGTGCAATAGGAACGCCAACCGAAATATGTTTTGGTACTTCTCTATATTACATGAAAGACTTGGTGGGGAGAAAAAAACCCTTCCCCTCTACAGTTTAGTTTGCAGTCTTTCAACTCTTACTTTTCAAGTAGCAATTATTTAGAATTGTAATAATCATGGTTTAGTGGCTTTATTACTTTTCAAGTAGCAATTATTTAGAATTGTAAAGCCACTAAACCGTGATTATTGCTAATCTCAGAGCAGGTCTAGGTCAATGTTTTTTGTTCTTTTCTAGTCTTTCCAGTGTCAGTCTTCCTTTAGCCAAGATAATTCCAATCATAAATGGACAGATCCATTCAGTATGCAGTGAAACACCAAGTCACTTTGTTCAGGTAAGAATCTGGATGATTTAAGATAACCCAAGTAAAATTTTGAAGTGAATGTTGTATATTTCTTTTTAATAATGTACTTGATTCTGTTTAATTTCAGTGGTTTAAAAAAAATAAGTAGGAACAACTGGCATAACTTAAACTTTGTGTAAACTTGTATCTTCCAAAAGTACGCTATTTTTCTGGAATGTCTTCCCTCTGCTAAACTGTGCAGAAGCACAAGAAGGTCCTTTGACTTGATTCTACATGCAGTTCTGCCCATAAACCTTTCCACAGTGAGAAATTTGAGTTAGGTCTCTGTGTGAGTGCCAGGTGCTTCTCTCATGATGAATTCTGTTCTGCAGCAAAACTGGAATAGCGGTGGATTAAGTATCTGATTAAGCAAATTTATTCTTTAAATTTCTTTCAGGACCTGTTGATGATGGAGCAAGTGAAAGATTTTGCTGCTAATGTTTATGAAGCTTTTAGTACCCCTCAGCAACTAGAGAAATGAACTGCACATTTATAGGAATAGATCGTGTATTTATAACAAATCCCTTGTGACTACTGATGCGACCTGGGTTAATTTTATAATGGTGTAGGAGCTGTAGACCATCAGAAGGAACATTCTGAAAAAAGTGGGAGTGAGCCTGTATTTGTTCTAATAGAATTCTGTTTCAAATGCCCATTAAAAATATTCTTGTTGAAAGAATCATTGTATGTAAAGACTTTTCTATTAAAGTGGTTAAACTCTTCCATAATTCATTGGATTATTTTTATTGCATCTGAAAGACATCTGGTGGCAGCATTACAACAAGTTACTAAAAAAACCCCTTTGTTTGCCTGGGGTGTGTAAGTTTTGGAAAAAGCTTATGATAGTGATCTAAGAATAGCCTGGAGTAGCAGAATGAAGTAAGGCTTCTTCCTTCTTCTTATCCCAAATTTTTTCTTTTTATAAGGGAAAACTTTTTTTCCTTAACTTTACAAATGTTATTCCAAAGAGTCTGTCATTCTTCAGAAAGCCTTTGCCAACTCTCTTGAACAAGCTGGCGGGGGGGGGGAGGGTTGCTCTCTCTGTTACTTAATACTAAAGGAACATGGATTTTTAGAAGTTCTCTTGTTTATGCTGTTCAAACAGCTACACTGTACACATTAACTTGTAAATATTTTATCTTAATTTGTATTAATTTTGAGCCCAATTGTCTGTATTGTAATAAAATATTTTAATGTAAAATTTGTGTGTGTATTAACATTACCTTTCCTGCTAGTAATGACCTCCCTTGGCCCATCACTTAAACTCTTGACAGAGTTGAAAGAATAAATTTAACTTACACAGTAATAGTTTTGCACCTATTAACATTACTCAGGAAAAACAAACCTTTTATCTCTACATCAAAATAATTCATGTTTTTTGTTGCCCTATACCATCCCCTCTCTGCAAAGTCCACACTGCAGGTCTGTCCCTACAGATCTTGATGCGTCAGGAGTTTGGCAATTTTTCAAGTTGGATGCAACCTCCCCTCTGCTTAAAATGTCACCTCCCTGGCAACCCCTGATTGCTTCTCTTAAAAAAATGTCAGTCATTGAACTATATGTTTTGTTTAATAGTCCACAGAAGGCACCCTGGTAACTGTAAAAACAAGTGCTGTAAACAAGAGTCAGCTTTAACCATGTAAAATTATACCAAACAGCAAATAAAAAACCCTCCCACTTTACTTCTATCCCAGTAATGGATAGAACTACTTAAGAGTAGGAACAGGTAAAAATCAGTGACATGCACAATGAGAGATGAAGCTGTACATCCATTTGTGATGAATTCCTAACCCCTACAGGACTGTTCTTGCAGGTACCTCACCCGCCTCAGCTGAAGCTGCCAGCTGTTGCACACAACTGGAAAAAGTTTTATTCTTTCCTCTGAAACAGAGTTTTTACTGTAGAGTTTTGTGGAAATCAGTTGTGTGCCGCCTTTGATGCAAGAATCTAACTGCTGTGCATTTGAAGGCTGGCTTGAGCTAGCTTTGTTCTTTCTTGTGACTTCAAAAATCTAGTGCTGGTCCCTGTGTTCTGTCCCTTGTCCCCATCTATCCCATCCCTGTGTCCCTGTCCTGTGTTGTGCGCCCCCCACACACACACCATTCTTCACATAACTTGGCAAGAAACTGACTAAAAAAAGCAGAGAGGTCAAGGTAGATGCTCAGTTTTTCACACAAGTTCAAAGAAACAAATTGTATGCAGAGATTCAGCGATCTAGTGCTTGATTTCACGTGAGGTTCATTCCATCCCATCCTTTAATAATCACCCACCTTTCCGAAAAAAGTGAAATTATTGACGTTTCTCCATCGAGCAAGTAAGCATGTGATGAGAAACTGGGCATGCCATCAGCATTCCCTGCTGCCCGAGGCTCCAGCAGCGTGTGGCTCAGTTTATGCCAGTCAGTTGCAAAGTCCAGCCCCACTGACAGGGCAACTGCTTGGGTGTTAACTGAGGCAGAGCTATCACCATTCCCTTCTCTCCCAGTGCAACCCATTTCAGCTGTTCCTTGTAGCCAATCAGCTGCACCTGAGATAGATAGAAGCATACACTATAATTAGAACAGTGCCTTTTCAAAGTGCATATAATTGCAAAATTGACACAAAAGAAATGTTTGTTCCATGGCTACTTTACTATCCAATTGTCCTGAAAAGCCACTTGCCAACCAAAGGAATGATAAAAGAGTGATTAAAGGTAGTAGAAAAATACTTGCAAAGTAGATAGGTAAGCAATAAAGCTAGTGATGTGGGTCTTGAGAAGTACTTAGGTCTGTAAAAGGTACATAAACACTTTTCAGAAGTACTTGGGATGGGATTTGGGTCTAAGCGGGGATCCAGGCACCACATACGCAGCTTTGTATCACCTATTTCCGAAATGCCCGTTTCCCACGGTGGAACTTCCAGGCTTAAGTGAGCAGTACTTCTTAGAGTGCAGCCAGATATCCCAGAACAAAGCTGACCCAAAGAACCTTGCCACTCAAAGCACAAAAACAGGTTTTATGGTGAGACACCAGCTGGTGAAATGCTGCGAGTAGTGGAGCGGCATAAGGGAGCCGCTGAAGACCAGCCTCTGCCCCTGAGGAACATGCCTCTCTTGTGCACACACAGTTTAGATGACTCTTACAAAATTCAAGACACATCCATGTCATTTCTGAAACTACTCTTTCTTCTTTACCACAGAGCTGTCTTGGCACTAATAAGATGCGTTTCATCTGGAACTAGGCCAGAGCAGTCTAGAAACACCCTTAATGCATTTCAGCAGCTAGCAGACAGCCAACGCATGGGACCAGGCCAGAGCTAAGCCAAGGTGAATCCCCACCTTAAATGCCCAGTGTTGATATCAAGTCATGAGCACCAGCTGTTCTGGCCTATACATCTGCTCCCTCTGGGTTACACCACTTGCTGAGGTAGGCACAGCATCAGCGTCCTCCACTTCCGACCACTGCTTGCTCCAAGACCCTCGTCTGGGGTTGCACTGACTTCCTATTTAGCACCCCCCCCCCCGGCGATTTAAAGATCTCTGT